TACCAACCACTTTGAGAACACCTATTCTGAAGATTACACTGGAAACATGGACAACATTCTTCCCCACATACCCAATCTTCTTACAGATCAAGACAATGACTCTATGGTGAAACTGCCCCTTGAGGAGGAGATCAAAACAGCAATCTGGCAGCTTAATCCTAATAGCTCAGCAGGACCAGATGGATATAATGGTGAGTTCTTCAAAAAATTTTGGGACACTATTAAGGAGGATATCATCAGTGCTACACATGAATTTTTCCTTGGAATTCCTATTCCCAAGGCATTTGGTAGTACCTATATTATCCTAATACCTAAGATGGAAGGAGCTAAAGCTATTGGTGACTTTAGACCCATAGCTTTATCCACCTTCTTCAGCAAAATGCTCTCCAGAATAATGGCCAACAGATTAGCCCCTCTTCTTAACAAGCTATTCTCCCCTGAACAAGCTGGGTTCCAGAAAGGGAAAGGAATTGAGGAGCACATTCTTCTTACTAATGAACTCATGCATAAACTTGAATCAAAAGTTAGAGGAGGTAATGTAATGATTAAGCTGGACATGGCCAAGGCTTTTGACAAAATGTCATGGAGCTACATAGGGGCTGTTCTTCAAGGTTTTGGTTTCACAGAAAAGTCCACTTCCCTACTTCTTCAAAACCTGAGGTCTAATTACATATCAGTTCTTTTCAATGGGAAACCATCAGGATTCTTCCAAATCAAGAGAGGAGTCAAACAAGGGGACCCCTTATCCCCTCTCCTCTTCATCTTGGGTTCTGAGGGTTTTTCTAGGAGCCTAGAACATGCAATTAATATTGGTTACATAGCTCCTTATAAGGCTGGCAGGAGTATGGTTGTTTCTCATTTAGCCTTTGCAGATGACCTGATTGTGTTTCTCAAAGGAGATTTCAGGAACCTACTGAGATTCAAACATATTCTAAATAACTATCTCAGAGCCTCAAGACAAGAAGTGAATCTGAGGAAAAGCAAAATCTACTGCAAAAAGAATTGCCATGGGGACTATAGACTCAAAGTGGAAGAGGCTCTTGGCTATAGGATTGACAACCCCCCCCCCCCCTTCAAATATCTGGGTTCTACCATCACAACTGGTAAGTTAAAAAAAATTCATTGTGATCAGATTCTTACTCACTTTGATAATTATCTCAACAGTTGGTATAGCAAAGAACTCAACCCTATGAGTAGACTCATACTCATCAAACATGTCCTTAGTGCCATCCCCTTGCATACTATAGCAGTACAGGACCTACCTAAGTCTATCATCAACTTGATTCACTCTAAATTGGCAAATTTCTTCTAGGGAACTAAAAATGGTAAATACAAGCATCACTGGGCTAAATGGACCACTCTATGCAAACCCACTGGTGAGGGAGGGATAGGTACCAGAAGCTTATTTGACATTCAAAAAGCCTCAACATTGAAGCTTTGGTGGAAGTCAGTTACAGAACAATCTATTTGGGCCTCCTTTATGAGGGACAAGTACTATAGGGATGGTCTTTTCGAAGCCAAATTATATGACTCTTCCTCCTGGAAGAGAATTTGCAGAATTTCTCACATAGGTCTCCAGAATACTACCCTGTCCAATCACACCTACAGTTGGATCAATGGAGAATTCACCTTCAAAGAGGCTTACTGGGAAGTAAGGGAAAGGAATATCAGTGAGCAGCTTTTCACCCTTAACTGGAACAAATTCCAGATTCCTAAGGTTAAGCTTTTCACTTGGAAAGCTTTGAACCAATTTCTCCCTTTTCCCAATATTCTCAACAAACTGAATTTTAACCTGCCTAGTAAGTGCTTATTATGTGGCAAGGCTGAAGCTACGGATAAACACACGCTACTTACCTTTGAGATGGCACAAAGCATCTGGAAAGCCTTTGCAGACTACATCGGAGGACCAGTTTGGAATCAAGAAACAGAGCTAAGGGATTACCTTCTACAATGGTGGGTCACTTTTAAAAAAACATCTCTCCGTGGTCTACTCAAGCTAATCCTTCCTGGTTGTATACTATGGATCTTATGGAAGACTTACAATAGATGCATTTATGAGGATCACAAACCAACAAAGGTGGGGATTATCATTGAAATCCAAAAACTAATTCAACACTGGTTTTGGTCGAACAAAAAAGCTGAGTCCATTGCTATTAAGGAAGAGATTGAAGCATTGAACCTCAAACCCTACCTTGCCAAAGAACATTACAAAGAAAGAAGACACACCTGTTAGTCTCTTCTTCAACTCATCGAACGAGATGTGGGGTTAGAAGTTGACGCAGAGGGACAGAAGAATTTCCTCTTTTGTCTCATCTACCTTTACTTCTTATTTTGTTGTTTTTGGATTTTTCTTTCGGGGCTTCGGTTTAGTCCTCCCCGAACTTGTATTATTTCTTACTTTTGGGGCTCTGGTCTAGTCCTCCCCGAACGTGTACTTTCTCGACTTTTATGATATTGGTAAGGGCGGCCTGGACCTTACCCCACTAACTTTGGTGGAGTTTTCGGGCAAAATATATATGTATACCCAATTAATAAATATATACATACACACACATAGATACATACATACACACACACACATATGGTAATATGATTACCCAATTAATAAATATATATTTAATATTTATTTTGTCCTAATTATATGATAATTAAAGTTGCCAAAATAAATTGTTATATTTTATTTACATATGGCTGAAAATAAAGAGTTGGAAGGAGGAAGGAGTTTGTTTTGATACACAACTCTACTTCCACAAGTTTAGGATATTGGATTTCATTTAAACTTGAGTTCCACATGCCACTTTGCATAACTCCTCCATCCCTTAGCCAAAAATTTCGAGAAGAAAAAGAGAATCAATTTTCTTTATCATTTCCAATTAAATTTCTATATTCAAGTATTATTCAGAAAGAATGTTGTAATGGTTTGAATCTGACCCGTTACAGCAGGGAGTATAGGGGTGGGAGTTCAAGATTGACCAAGAAGGGTTGGAGTTCGACCACCTAAGAGGTCTGGTTTTGAGGACATGGTGGGTTATTCACTGCAGGTTGCTGAAGAGGTCGATACTTCTAAACCATCTACTTACAGAGAAGCTGTTTTAAGTTCTGATTCTGAAAAATGGCTAGCCACTATGGGATATGAGATGGAGTCCTTATATAAGAATCAAACATGGGATCTTGTTATACAGCCTCCGGGGAGAAAAATTATTACTTGCAAATGGGTTTTCAAGAAGAAGGAAGGAATATCACCAGCAGAAGGGGTCAAGTATAAAGCCAGGGTCGTTGCCAGAGGCTTCAAAGATGGTGAAGACAGAGGGAGTGGACTACAATGAGATCTTCTCACCTGTTGTCAGACATACTTCCATTCGCGCGTTATTAGTGATAGTTGCACATCAGAATCTGGAGCTCGAACAACTTGATGTGAAGACAGAATTTCTACATGGAGAGTTGGAGGAAGAGATATACATGACTCAACCGGATGGTTTCCAAGTTCCAGGGAAGGAAAATCATGTTTGCAAGTTGAAGAAGTTCTTATACGAACTTAAGCAGTCCCCGAGGCAGTGGTACAAAAGATTTGACAGTTATATGATGAAGTTGGGCTATACTCAGAGCTCATATAATTGTTGTGTCTACTACAATAGGCTCAAAGATGGTTCATTCATCTATCTGGTGCTTTATGTAGATGATATGTTGATAGCTGCAAAGCAGAAGTATGACGTCCAGAAGCTGAAGGGTTTACTTAGTGCTAAGTTTGAGATTAAGGATCTGGGAGCCACTCAAAAGATTTTAGGGATGGAGATCATTATAGACAGAGAGAAAAGGAAACTTTTCTTGTCACAGAGAGGTTACATTCAGAAGGTCTTGACGAGGTTTGGCATGTCTCCATCTAAGCCTATTGACACCCCCAGTGCTGCCAATATCCATCTCACTGCCATGTTTGCTCCACAAACAGAAGAAGAAAAGAAGTATATGTCACGAGTTCCATATGCCTGTGCTGTAGAGTTTAACTATCCGATCGCAACGGTGCAAACGGAATTCAATTCGGAGAAAGTTGGACCAAAAAGTGTTCCCCGACTGGGACCGAATTAGTCCCAATCAGGGACTTGCGTTTGAAATGGGAAGAAATCGCATCCAGCTCCACCCAGCCGCCGAAACAGTCGAAGGAGAGCGCATCAAGCTGTGTCATCTTCCTCTTCCTTCTCCTATAAAAGGCTACCATAACACCCTCCATTCTTCACCATTTCTTACAAAGTTTCATTCTATTCTGTTGCTGGGAGTGAGGAGAACGCAGTGGTGCTGTCGTATTGGTGTGAGGTCGCCAAAGTTTAGAGTTATCGTCGCCGGAAGTTTCGTCGGAAAATCTTCAAAACCTCCATTTAGCTTCGAGGTAAGCCCGTAGATATATCTAAAGATTAGAATGTTCATATAGGTTGTTTTTACGTTCATAAATGGTCATTTGGTTGAGTTTTCTGTGCGACGTGTTTGAAGAACCAAGAATCATAAACCTTGAATTTGATGTTAAAAATATATTTTGATGATCCTAAAATGATCTATGAACCTTGGAGAACATTTCTATATAGTTTAATTGAAGTTTGGTAACTAAAATTGGTATTTCCGAAAATGGACCGAAGGAAGAAGACGATGAACAGTGACCAAAAATCGATTATTATCTTCCTAAAAATCGATTAAAACTTCGTTCAAACGAGATGTTTGAAGTCAGTACCCATTTATCAAGAACAAATCGATTATTCATAAAGACCAAATCGATTTTTAATATTTAATCGATTATTCCTAAAGCAAAAATCGAGTTTTACTCATTAATGGATTATTTTTCAAGCAAAAATCGATTTTAATGATTTAATGGATTATTTTTTAAGCAAAAATCGATTTTATTGATTTAATGGATTATTTTTCAAGCAAAAATCAATTTTTATGAATTAATAGATTATTTAAATTATATAAATCGATTTTTATAATTTAATTGGTCATTTTTAATTGATATCATATTTTTGATATCAATTAATTATGAACAATATAAATATGAGTTTGTACAATAAAAATGATTTTTTTGGCATATAAAACATTATGTGATGCATGACGGTAAGTTCGGGTGTTAACACTCGAGACTAGGCCATTAATTGTTATTAAATGTTATGTTGAATGATCATTCTGATGAATTATTATTGTGACTAATTATGAATGATAAACCTAATGATTAGAATGATTATTGATGATTAAATCATGATTAAAAATGAATATAATGGTGATCATGAAAACGGTGTATATTATTAGGGATATTTAGAAGAACTCTAAGATATACCCACTTGTATATTGATGATGATTATTAAGGATATCTAGAAGAACTCTAAGATATACCTCCTTGACCAATTCATTATTCGGGGTTAAAACGTACGTACGGGATCCAGACCGGATATCACCCACCCGACAAATCATTGTTCGGTTGGTACGTAATCCACATGACTCATAGGGTGGATTATCGATTCTTGTGTTTGCATTAAACTATTTATAGTTTAAGGGCCTGGTTAGAATTACTGCCTTAGACTGGGAATAGCTAAGAGCTGAATATAAAATGATGTGGCCTTAGATTAAGAATAATTTAAGAGCATTTTTGATATATTGAATATCAAATGACTTGGAATAAAATATTGAAAATATTATGAATGTTTGAACCATATATTGTGTGCATGATATCAAATGGTTGATTATGAATTGAGATTCAATTTATGTGGATGTTCGACGCTTTAGATATGCTTACTCAGCTTCACCGCTGAGCGTGTAGTGTGTTTTATTTGCTACACGCAGAAAGAAATAAATATTGAAAATATTATGAATGTTTGAACCATATATTGTGTGCATGATATCAAATGGTTGATTATGAATTGAGATTCAATTTATGTGGATGTTCGACGCTTTAGATATGCTTACTCAGCTTCACCGCTGAGCGTGTAGTATGTTTTATTTGCTACACGCAGGTAAACAGAAAGATTAATGTGATCCTGGCGGCAGATGGGGCGAGATTGTCAGGATGGATGTGACAAGTTTTGAAATAATTTATGATATGTCAATATTAAATTCGCTTCCGCAATATTGTTAAATACTCCGTACTGTATATGTTATGAAAAATATTATTGAGATTAATAAAGTGTGTTTGAAAAGTTTTAAATTTTACGATTACCAAGTTAAATACTTTAGTCCGAATGGGGCTGCAGACCTGGACGGATTAGGGTGTTACA